TTTCCACCATCTTGGATTTCAATGTCTCACCACACCACTCAGCCTTCCTTCCCACTGCTTCTCTCAGTCTCTAAGATGCGACAACTTTTTTCTGTTTTATCCTTCTGAAGAGCATTTCAGCTCTGGCACTTTCCACCCCCGTCACTCACACTCTGCTTACCTCAAGATTATTAATGTGCTCTGCTTAAAAAAAAAAGCCTCATTTATTCCAAGTGTCACCTTCCTTCTCTCCTCTGCCCTGGTTACTCTCTACAGGAACAGAGAAAGAAATATGCCACTTTACATCCCCAGAGGTAAAAACTTATGTCTTTTATCTTGGAATGTACAAGAGTGTGCAAGTAGATTCTGGCTTTAGATAACAATTGTAACAAAACCTCCATTCTGTTAGTGTCCCCTTGTGCAGAGCTGGGAAACGCTGGTGAGTAGACAGCCCCTGGGAAAGGACTCAGGGGTCTGAGTGATGTTGAGGAAGAGCCACCCTGGACTTGAATGAGGAGTTCAGAGAGTCTATGATTTGTCTGGGACTCTTGCTGGTCCCCAAATTGTCTATCAATGCAGCCAAGGCTGGGATTTACCTGTTCGCAGGTAGGTGAACGTTCCCCTACCCTGGACTGTGCTCCAGCTTCACCCTGGTCAGCTGTGAGGGTTTATAAGCCAAGCACCAGGACCAGAGACAAGCATGGATCCTGGCTCTTCCCACTCTCGACCTTGGTTATCGACCCTATATTTTCTCATGTTTGTTCTTTTTGGGAACATTTGTTCACGTTGTTCCTTTTTGTAAACTGGATATGACATCTCCCTTGGAAGATTGTGGTTGATACAATGATGCACTTGAAGCACTTCAAGAGTCTGGCTCGTAATTAGTGCTCTGCGAATGGAAATCACAGTTGCTAATACTCTGTTTTGAGGTAGCTGAGTGTCCTGCTGCACAGGGGCCCAGCTTGCTCTGGCTGCTGAAATGCCTTCATGCATGTGGTGAAGGGACTCGGTGACTGCACAGTGAAATCCCAAACTTGGTTTCACTGCACAGAGTATCATCTGGAAAGGAGAACTGCGTGGCTGTGGGCAGTAGCTTATTTTGTAATTTTTAGGCTGTGTGTGAACCAGAGGGAAGCAGATTCATTAAAAGAGGAGGAGAGAAGAATTTGGGAAGGAAAAGGAAGACATGACCAATGGGAACTTGTTGCAGTATGGTGAGCAACGTGCCTCTTCCCTCTGTCTCTGAATCACGAGATCCATCTATCTTTCTGTGCATAGCATTGTGGAGGGGCTTTGGGATTTGTCCGTCGGGGAGTCCTGCTTTCAAGGTGGGCATAGGTTTAAGGATGGAGACTGCAAGGAAATCCTATTCAGGACACATTTCTACCCTGATGATGTTAGGCAGATTATAAAATTGTAGACAGAACCTTGGGTACTCTCTTATACTTTTGATGTTTAAGATCTGGCTCTAGCCTACAAACCTGTGACAAATGGGACTGGCTTGCCGTTACCATGGACCAAGGTCTGTCTGTAGCAGGAGTATAACTCACATGTGTAGACTTCTGAGATTTCCACGTGTCGGGGAACAGTGCCCTCTACTGTTCATGAGGAAAACATGCAGCCCTGGTCAAGTCAACGGCGGTGCACGGCTCAGATAGCCAAGCTGCTGTAAGCATGGAGACACTGCTTGGTAGCCAGCCGCTGGCACTCACCTGTGGCTGTCAGCCCTCTGCAGGGGCCGTCCACAGCAGCTCACCTGCTCTTTCTAGGCAGACTCTGACTCCATGCTTCAAGGGCCTGTGCTCACGTGAGCAGTGTTAGTGCTAATCAGAAAGAATTTCTAAAATGGTGATTTTTAACTGTCCTGAGAACTGTAAAATTAAAAATTTCAAGCCGCTTTAAGGAAGCTCAGTTAATAGCTGTGATGGGATAACGGCATATCAAACACCAGCAGTTCAGGGTTACACTGGCAAGGAATAAATTCATTTCTCTCTCTCTCTCTCTCTGTCTCTCCCTCCATCTTTTTCTCTCTCCCTCCCTCTTTCTTCCCATTCCTTTTCTCCACCCTTCCTTCCTCCCTCCTTTCCCTTCCTTTCCCTCCCCTCACCTTTCATAAAATACCACAGAACACAGAAACTCCTCCTCCTCCTCCTTCTCCACTAATAATATTATATGGTGAGAATCATTTTGCTGGCGTTGTCTTCTAGGAGCAGTTTGTTTTGGGGTGGGGAGAGGGCTGGCTCTCCACCTTCTGAGCAGACACCTGTACTTGATCTCACCTGTGCTGCTGTATTCTGACCCCAGTCAGTGTGCTCACCGTGTTCCTTTACTTTAGGGGGCAATTCTATAGACCTTACACTAGCATTGGGGTCTGAGTCCTCTGCAATAACCCCTGAACTGTTTTCTCAACATTATTCTACTTAGCTACAGCCAAGAAATTATAGTGTTAATGAAATATTCATGAAAGGAAAAATGCCTTTTGAGTTGTCCTAAAATACATGATTCTAAAACTATAGTGTGAAAGTATTTCTTCTTTTATGCTTCCAAGTTTCAAGTATATTGAGCAAGAATGCTGAGTTCTTGCTCTCTCATGTGGCAGAACGCTGGTAAGTGGGAGCCTCCCACATCTTACCTTTCCCTCTGCCAAGAGTGAAGTCCAGTTTAGGTAGCCCTGACCTCCCAGTGGGACCCACTGTCTCCAGATGAACAGAGTCCTGGAATTCTGCTGCCACTCAGTGCAGGAAGAAATGGTGGTGGGCAGAATGTAGACCTATATGGGACTCCCAGGCTTTGGATGGGGCTGAGTTTTCCTACTTAGGGTGATTGGAAGATGAGTAAATAACTATATTGTCAGCATATGACTGTTTGTGTGTCACTCTAGTAATTGCCAGAGAAAAAAAATTGGACTTTCTCTGAAGTTTGGAGTTCTAAAGGATTGAACAGTTCCACATGATTTAACAGATTAAGGAAAGTGCTCAGTTTTGGGGTACTTCTATTTATTACTTCCATTTAACATAGTTGTCTAGCATAAAAGGTGCTTTTAGTCCTTCAGCACAGAATGCTTTCCTGGGCTGGCAAAGTGGCTCAAGTGGTAGATCAGCAAGCATGAGGTCCTGAGTTCAAACTCCAGAACTGACAAAAAATAATAATGGCTTTGCTGGCACATGGGCAGCTTGTTTAAGTACACAGCATGCAATTTTCCTCCCAGTTTAGCATAATCCTTGGGTCCAATGTCACCTCCTATTGGGATGTCACCATGGAGAATTACTCCCTTTTTCTTTTGTGAGTCATTATCAGAGATTTGCCCTAACAAGCCAGTGGATAACTGCTTGGAAAACCGAGATTTGACTATATAAATAGCAGCTCTAAACTGACTTTTACTAAATTGTCTCTTCTCCCTGGGCAGAAGTTCTAGAAGAGTGTGTGGGGGATAGCTGGAAAGAATCATGTGCAGGTTGGAGCCTTCCTTGGAGCGTTTCCTAGGGCCCCCTGTGTTTTGAGAGCTGTCTCCAGGCGCACAGACTCCTGACCATCTGGGGGGGAGGGGGCGGTGAGCTCCAGAGAACAGGTTGACATCATGCACTTATGTCAAGACCAGGGTGAGGCAGGCAGAAACTGGAATCCATCTTGATTCCATAAACTGGACTCTGGATCCAAGGGCTGGTTGAGTGAAAGGAGAGATGACCTTGTGTCTGGTGCTGGGATGCTAAGCTGAAGACCTGCCTTCACAACGTATGCAGGCACACTACATAGGTTTTCTGAAACAGGTCCCTCTGAATTTCTCTTGTCCTGATGTAATTATTCCTAGTGTCTCTTTCTATTATTGTGTCTCAATGTGTTCCATAAATTATTCTTGTGTAGGAGCACTTTCAACAGTGACATCGTGTGGCCTCAAGAAGCAATAGCAGTGGACCAAGTTCATTCCTGGTCAGTACAGAAGCCAGGGTGACTCCTTTCTGCCCATGGACATCAGAGCTGACAAGGAGAACTTCAAGAGGGAACTGAATACATTCTATTAATAAGGTATGAGGGTGCATCAATTTTAATTGGGAAAGTAAGAGCTGTGACTGTATATAGTGTACCCTGGGTTTGTGAAGAGTTTATACTTGTCCTGTCTTAGAATACTTGCTCTGAAGACCTGGCGAATGAGCAGGATCTTATCCTGAGCTCTGTGAAGTAGTTACCTGTACCTCAACCTATGATCTTGAGAAGTTATAATTTTTGCTGGCGGGAAGACACACTGAGTTAGCTATGGATTTAAGATGTCTGCTTTTGCACATCCAGTGTATTTTTTGCCTTTGTGGTAAATAGAGCCTCTTTTCCTGTGAGAAACAGAGTCTGTATGATGTGGGGATGACTCCATTATCTCTTTTTTCTCACTTTACTGGACACATGACTCATACTTGACCAATCAGATCTCCTGTCTTTTTAGGGCACATTGACTGTGGATAGGGATAGACAGGTGAGTTGTGCTCTTTTCTGGGCTTGACTGCTGGGGTCATGGGGAAAGACGCTTGTGCTGAGGTTGCTAACCTGTTATGTGGAATTTTGGCAGTTGTCTGCCATCTTGCTACTAAAAGGAGAATGCCCGTTCTATTCATGGAATTTGTTTTTTTCTGAGATGGGATGTCACTGGCCTTGAACTCACAATTCTCTTGCTTCAGTCCCCTGAGAAGCTGGGATTACAAGCATGGGATCACCAGCACTATTCATGAATATTTGTATTCCATAAGGATACTTAGATTTTTAGGATTCACTAGTCATTGATCAACTCAAATTCTGTTCAACATCAGTATAATTCCCCAAGTTTGTCCAGTTGGTTTGCTATCAGGTACTACTCAACTTGTCCATATAGCCACAGACACCTAATGCCAGAGCTCTTTACTGGGCAAGGTTAATGTTGGAAAAATGACATGGAGGAGAAGGCAGACAGGTAGGCACCTCTTCCCGCACCGATTCCACTACGTCCATGGGCAGGCTGGGCTCCTGCCACCTCCTGCTGCCGAGGGTAGCTGGTAGGGTCAGTGGGGAAGCATGTCCTCTGTCTCCAGGGTGAGTGATGGGAAGAGCAAGCTCCGGAGCCTCCACAAGACGCCCCTACTCAGTATCTTGGGTAACATGTTGACTAGGAGGTCCGGATTTACAAAATTTAAATGGAAGATCACGTATCCCATCAGTCTGATGAAGAACAGGGTGGTGAAAAAGAGAGAGCGAAAAATCCTGAAAGACAAAGCCAGGGAAACGGAACCAGAGTTTAGGAACCTTGGACCAAAATAATAGACTGCCCCTGACCACAGGTCTGCCTCTTCCTCGATATCTGGATGTCTTGTCTTCTGTCACCACTGGTCTGCCCGTTTTCCCGTCACTGTGTTCTCTTTTCTTTCAGACTGATCACTATCTAAGATAATCTTGTCGCCCCTGTTCTTGCCATTCCGGGAATCGAACCCAGGGTCTTGCATTCTACTCCTGAGCTATGGCCTCAGCCTTGGCTTTCTGCAGCAAGGTCTCACCACATAGCTCAGGCTGGCCTTAAACTAATGACCCTCCTGCTGCAGTCTCCTGCATGCTGGCTTACAGGCATGCTCTACCATGTCTGGTTACTCCTTTATTTTATTTTTGCAGATTGTTTGTGAAAGTAGTTGTATCAAATTACTCCTGACCAGCAAAGTGTGTGCTTCTGTACCCGCATTCTCTCCAACACCGAAATGAACAGGGTTTTTAATTCCTTTGTTCCTTCTTTCCTTCCTTCCTACCTCCCTTCCTCTTTCCCTCCCTCCCTCCTTTCTTCCTTCCTTCCTTTCTTTGGCAGTACTGGGTTTTGAACTCAGAACCTGGTGCTTGCTTCCCCCTTACTTTTCCACATGTAGCATATTTTAATGTCATTTCATTCAATTCCATTAAAAAAAACCTTTGAGGGGTTTGATTGGAATTGAATTGAATCTATCAGTCATTTGGAGACAATTATATTTTTATTAGGTTTTCCATCCATGATCATTGTATTTCTCTTATTTCATTCACATTATCTTAAATATTTTCTAATGACATTTCTATAAACTTCTCTCTGGCAGTCTTTATTTCTTCTGTAACTGATGACTTACTTAGCACTTAAAGTTTTAAAATAATTTACGTGTAATCCCCAGAAGCACAAATAATTAACATAATGATTTACATGAGGAAAACCTGCAACCTTTCCTTTCCCGTATTTTCCTTACCTAGCTCTACTGGGCTCCTCCTGCCCCCAGATGGATCTGATACCCACATTCACTTACCTGTTAAAAACAACCCCTTGGGCTCAAGTGGTAGAGCACCTGCTTTGCAAGTGCAAGACCCGAGTTCAAACCCCAATCCCACCAAAAGCAAAACAAGAAAGAAAGAAACAAGCAAAAAACTCCACCACTCCCCAGCAGCTTCCTCAAACTGTCCTCCGTGGTTGAGCTTTGTGACAGGAGCTAAGTTCATTCCAGCACAGCACCTCTATTAGAGTTAGAATTGGAGCATCATCCCATCTTTGTCCTTCAAACTGGGACAAAAGTTCTGGAATGGTTCTGGGGTGACAGCCCCAGGGAAGAGCCTTGGCATAACCCAGCTATCATCGCTTGAGTTACTGCCCCAAAAGGTGCAGGGCACAAGAGCAAAGACATCTGTTAGTCAGACAGGACCTGGAACTTGCCAGAGATCTCTGGACAGGTTCTCTTCAGGGCACCGGCTCTCTGTAAGGCAGGCAGTGCTTATGCTTGGTGATTCCACTCTGGGCTCTGGTGTTGTCGTGTAAAAGGGCAGCCTCAGGGGCTTGGGGACAATTCTGCTAGCTGCCCCAGAATGTTACAGGTAGGATATTGGCACATGCAACACTGCACATACATGCTGAGAAGGGTATTCTCTCTTCTTAAGCAAATTTTTCAGACAAGGGGGCTTACCTGTAAGCACCATAAATGTAACCATTTTCATGGGACGCTCTCTGAATTGCATTTCATGCACTGTGCTTTTTCTGCCTGCCTTCTTAAACAGACCACACTGAGCACCATTTGACCTTTTTCTGGAAAATGCTGGAACTTCATGAATGCCAATTTCACTGGCATCACACTGCTCCCTCGGGACTAATCTCCATTCAGGCGTTCACATCTTGAGTTCTTCTCCAGTTTAACAAGTAGTTTTTTTTTTTTTTTTTTAGCAATTACCCACTGCTGGATACTGCTTGGCCCTTTCCACTACTGTCTCCTTTCCTGTCAGCGGGAGGGCGGGCGGTGGTGTGGCTGCAGCTGGGCGCTCAGACCCCGTTTCTAATCTGCTGATGCCCTGGGAAACCCCGTGCACTCAGTGAACCAAGTTGTTTGGAGAAGGAGTGACCGTGAGATTGGTCACGCTCCGTTTGTGTGATGGAGCTCCTGCTTCTCCTTACAATGAGGGTGCTGGCTCTGAATTCTGCAAAGTTGGGATTGTTAGTGGCTTTTGGAGAAGGAAGTCATGGCATTGGAGCTGAGATGTATAGTCAATGACAGTTTGATATGACATGTGTGCATGTACACGCATGTGTGTTATGTGTACATGTGCGTGTGTGCAGATGCATGTGTTAAGTGTGTGTGTGTGCACGTGCATGCGTGTATGTGTGTATATCCATGTGTTACATGTATGTGTGTGCATATGCGTGCATGTGTGTTCGTGTGTGCATATGCATACGTGTGTATATGTGTGCAAATGCACGCGTGTGTATGCGTGCATACATGTGTGTATGTGTGTGCAGATGCATGTGTGCAAGTGTGTATGCATGTGCATGTATGTGTATGCATATGCATATATGCATGCGTGTGCTATGTGTGCGTGTGTGCACGTGTGCAAATGCATGCATGTGTGTTGTGTTGTGTGTACGTATATGTGTAACTGTGCGCACACGTGTGTGCAAATGCACGTGTGCTATGTGTATGTGTGTATGTGCATGCATGTGTTGTGTTTACATATACATGCATGTGTGCGCGTGCAAATGCACACGTGTGCATGGTTCTCTTGGTCTAGACTGCTCTCTCCAGGATGGCCCAGTACAACTTTTCCTTTTCCAGGAAGTTTCCTTGAAGATATTTTGCTTACCTTTTACCAAACAATGTTGCCTTTTTTGAGATGGAGTTATACTGGAAGAAAAGAAAAGGACATTGATTAAGCAAGCAGTTTCTGGAAGCTATCATCACTGTCAAATAATGTTGAGCCAGTCATTGTAAAATGTTACAAAACACCTTACACATTCCTTTTGTATGTACAAGCACATGGAATTTTCAAAGATGAAGGGTTTCTTTTTTATTTAGTATTTTAATTATTTGGTGACACTGTACTTGCTGGGCAAGCACTCTACCACTTGAGCCACACCTCCAGTTCTTTTTGCTTTTGGTCACTTTTTACTAGGGTCTCACTTTTTTGCACAGGCTAGCCACAGAGGGTTATCTTACCTATGCCTCCTGCATTAGCTGGGATTATAAAGTGTACCACCACATCCAGCTTATTTGTTGAGATGGAGGTCTCACTAACTTTTTGCCCGGGCTGGGGTCCAGTTGTTATCCTCCTGATCTCTATCTCCTGAGTAGCAGGGATTTCAGGCCCCAGGCTGGGCTGAAACTTAGATCCCCTCCCTCCATCTCCTAAGGCAGGGAGGACAAGCCTGTGCCACCACTCTGGGCTCCTATTATTATTTTAATTACCATTTTTACATGCTGATATAAAAACTAAGGTACAGAAAGGTGAAGTAGTTTGCACAAGATCATCTAGCTAGGATGTGCTTGGGCCAGGCCTGGAATCTGAATCCTGTGAGTCACATTCTTGGCTCTCTACCTGCATTCTTTTCTTTTACTCAGCCTATGACCCTAGGAAGCTTACAGGCTGTGACAATCACACAACACATCCTAGGAGACAAGTTTTAAAAGCGAGAATCTCAAGATGAGGGTTTCTGTGCCATCTCTCTTCCAAAAGTATTTTCTCTGTCATTTCATTGTCTTTTTAACTTCCTTGTGAGATCAAAGGAGAGAGAAATTATGACCATATTTTGGTGCTGTGTAAATGAAGCACACAGAATTAGAATTAAAAAGAAACTTCCTGGATGGCAAACTCAGTGCTACAGCTTCATGAGGTTAGATGGTGCGCCAGTAAGTCTGAGGCTTCGTCGCCTTTCTATGAAGCTGTCCACTGGACCATCATGGACCTATGACGGGCTCTGTGCAGACAACTCTTTCTTTCTCTGAGAGCTGGTCACAGGGAATTCTTTGATGAGCGCTGGGTACAGAGCAAGCCACACTTGCTTCTGGAGAGCTGAGTCCAATGAATTTTAGTCTTCTTTGCTGAGTGGCATGTGTAAGCATGGAGGCCAGCATGGCTCGTTCAGGACAATGGGAGCTGTGGTCACTGGGGATGTGTTCTAACACGTATCCCAACATCCAGGTGTTCCCAGGATTATGGCCAATGGCTCATTCATCCTTTTAAGGAAGAGATGAATGAGAATTATTTTTTCCTCAGATTATCAAGGTCATCTATCTCAACTACATAATGTCTGGTGATTGTCCACCTCGGATTTAAAGCCAGTCTAAATTTCAAAGGTAGGGTCCAACAGAAATTTCTCTTTTAAACCTGTGTGCCTGATTCCTAAGAGACCAAGCCAAAAGGCCTGGTCCTGGTGTCCTCCATCTTCGAGAATTTGCACATGAGCCAGTGACTCGATGCTACCTATGAACAAGTGCTGACGTGGTGACATGAAGAGGCAGTGGTCAATTTTAATCTGATGGTGACGGACATTTGGTGCTTTATGTCGTGAAAGGTTTGGGGATATGTTGGGAGAATGGGAGAGTGCACCGTGACTGCAGGAGATGGAGAGGGCTGCCTCCTAAACAGTAAGCACTCATTATTGGGGGTTTCCATATTGCATTCTCTCAGGTCTTAGGCTGGATGTTTTGGAATCTGTCATTTGTAGAAGGTCATTGCTCTTTAGTTTCTTGGTTTTTTGTTGTCGTTGTTTGGGGCTAGGATTCTTTGGAAGTCTAGTTGGCGACTCTTAGATGATGCACTGGGCATGTATCTGGTGGTAGACAGTTTTTGCAAACTCCTTCGAAAGGCTGAGGAGGGAATGAATGGCTTACCTCATTATTTTGGCTGTTACATGTTTTTCTCACAGAGTCCATGCTCATAACTTTTGATCTAGGGGGGAAAAGAGCCAAGAAAGAGATTGAACAAAGTACTCAAATACATTGCAGGCTGGCTATTTAAAAACAGCTTTGTAGTCTAAACCTTCACTGTCCAATATGGCAGCCACTGGCTACCTGTGGGTTTTTCAATTTAAGTTAATTAAAACAAAAATTCAGCTCCTCAGTCACACTAGCCATCTCTCAAGGGCTCAATAGTCATATGTGGCTGCCAAGTGTCTCCCTGTTGGATGGCATAGAAGGTTCTATTAAGAGAACCTTGTTCTAGGACCTTAGCTTCACAGGCCAGCCAACCAGTGCTCAGCAAGGATCTTGTCAGGCTTGAAGGACATGTCTTTTAGCAACAAGCACCTTTAAAAGCCTGACTTCTAGGCCCCAGTTTATGTGTGGCCTACTTAGAGGACCCATGTAGCTTTGCCCTCTTGTTCTTGTTCCCAACATCTCCAAACACTTGATAAATGGAAATACTTTTTGACTGGGTTAAGATTTAACTTGCAAAGAGGCCCAAGAAGTGGAAGTGAGGTTTTTGGGTTGTGGTTTTCTACTATTGTACTCTTGAAAAACTCAGAAATACTTTTTGAGGGAATTTTCCTTTATCGTATCTAATTTTTAATGCTCATGGTTCAGTACGGTGAGTTTTATAACATGGTGGCGTCTCTAGAGATGACTTGCACACCTATCCCATAAGGTATAATCCCATAAATCTAGGGGAAGTGAGGATAATATTTGTTTTAAGGTCTTTCTCTGAAATATAAGCAATACTCAACTTATCAAAGTTGAGCCACTAACACTTAAAATACATGTTTCTGCTCATAATAAAACCCAAATAATAGTGTGATATTGTGATAAAATTGTGAAGGGGGACTTGTTTCTGCAATCGTTTAAGACTGTCTAACCGTACACATGTATGGAATTGTCCCAATGAACACCCTGGTATTATTAATGCCTGCTAATTCAAACATAAAATAAAATTTAAAAGACGGTTGGTGTGGTCTAGCAAGGGTCAACCATATCACAAAGTTTGGGGAAAGATGTGGTGGTGGGGCTGAGTGTTTGCTCTGACCCAGACTGAGGTGGTTACCACTAAACCAGGTTCCTGTGCAAAGCTCACACTTCTCTCTCAAGGAATCGAGTCTCTAGTTCTTCTTCTATTTTCCTCAAAGTTTCCTGGTACCTCTTCAAAGAGAAATAAAGGAAGCCACAGTTATGACTTGGACACTCTAAGAATTTTCTAAGTATGCAAACCCTTAGGCTGCAACATGCATATCCTGCTAGTACCATCCCCAGTGTCCTTGCTCTCACGGACCCCACCCCACCACGCCCGACTTCTCGCTTTGCCTCAGCACTGGGTACGTGCTTGTGGGTAACTGGGACAGGAGATAGCAAAAGTGCCCATTATGAATTTAAGAACCCAGAGATTGGAGGGATGGGTGAGTTTACCAGGGAGTCAAGGGGCATGGAGTAGTATTGGTGGTGGGGGAAGGTGACCTTGAAATCTTTTTTTAGTACCACTTGGAAGAGCTACAATTTTTCTAGATAGCATTTTTTAAAATGGTACTGGGGCTTGAACTCGGGGCCTTGCACACACTAGACAGGCATTCTACCACTGACCCACTGCCAGCCTCTAGATAGCACTTCTGGAACAGCCTGGTTTCATTGCATCTGGTACCTTAACAAACCCTTTGCCACTCCTTGCTTTAGAAGCTGTACCTTTATACAGAGGGCTTGATCTTCACAGAGCTGGGCCACAAACACATAGTCTTGCCTTACCTGGAAAACCAGAAGCTGGGTTTCAACATTTCTCTCAGTAAATTGCTGTCAGAACAAGAGTACACGCTCCTTCCTGTGCCACAGGTCTGCATGCTGGTTTTCTAATTGTTCTAAGAATCTTTTGGCTGTACATGTAAATTCTTCTCATTTTTGGGGATAAATGAACCCAAGTTTTACAGTCAAATAGGAATTATTTGGAGGCAGCTGAGAGAGGGGTAGATATTAATATGTGGAGGATACATATGATAGGATGTATCCTATGGAAGAAGTGAAGGAAATCTTTCCTTAGCCCCATTATGGTCCTGTGTCTGGACCCCAAGTACACATCAGTCATTGGAGAAATGTGTTAGACTGTCTGACAGAGGAGCGAGTTTCCCTTTCTTGGGGAGAAGTAACAATGAAGCCCTTCTTACCTTAACCAATTCCTTTGCTTGGTCTGCACAGGAAATTTCCAGCTCTTGTAGCTTAACCTACAGAAGGGGAAGGAGACGGTAATTCAGCAGAGAGATGCTGCCCAGGACTGACATGCTATCTCAAAGGTGATCTCACAGGCTGTTGGAGAGCCTCAGGCCACAGTTTCAGATGCTGATGGAGGAATTAAGGAATCCACTGTTCTTTGCAGCTACTAGGTGAATGAACTTTCCATACTGAGCCTTCACCCGGGGCTGCCTTTCGCCCCAAACTTCAGTTCTTGACTTCATTCTCTTAGTCAGCTATTTCTCATGGAAATAAGTTCGGTCCTAAAAAATCTTTGCTCTTGTTTTTTCCCTTTCTATATAAACATTCTGAGTCAAAGGCTAATTCCTTTATCCCTCCTGTTATTCTTCCTTCCCTCTTCTGTTTCCTTAAATATTTGGTGAGACTATTTGATATTGCCACCATAGTGGAGTGAAGTGCTGAGGCTATCGTGGGAAGAGGACCAATGGGCTTTCTACCCACGTAGAAGCTTTCTAGTTGGCATAAAGTGGTCGACTGTTAACGTGCTCCATGTGTGCTACAAAGGAGATAAAGACAGGTCACTGTGACAGGAGGTAGTGATGGTGGGAGTAGTGTGGAAGGATCAGGTGAGCAGTGGTGGAAGAAAGTCTCTCTCTGAGATGACATTTGGGCTGAAGTCTGGAAGAAATCTGGGGAGGTCATTGCCAGGGCTAAAACCAGGAAGTAGAGACTGAAACCACCACGTTAAGTGAAGCTGATAGGGGGAGGGAGGAGGCTACTGTGTGCTCTGTGTGACTTTCTTATTTAGATGTCAGAAAGGTAAGTAAAGCAAACACCAAGCTTGGGTTTTTAGCTCCCTCGATTAAATGTATTTCATTCGGTCTTTCTAATTTGATCCGAAATGATGAAGATGTTATTTTCTTGCTCTGAAGCAGTAGAGGAATGTGGTGGGTAGGAGAAAAGGAGGGAATGGCTGACAAGGACTGGATTATGTAGGGCCTTGAAGCTTCTAGAAGGGCAATTCTTCATTTGAATTGCAGTGAGGAGGCAGGAGAGGGTTAGAAGTATTAACACACAATTGGATTTGTGATTTTAAAGAGCAGTTTCTTTTCTGTGTATGGAAAGTGGCTTGTCTAGGAACAGAAGTAGAATCTGGGGACTAGTTAGGTGCTACTTCAATTGTTCAGTTTATGGTGGCTTGCAGAGGGAGGTGGTGACAGGGGGAACAGAGCGAGCGTTTTGGAGGTACAGGACATGTCATCCTTCTCTTTTCAGCCCTGTTGTTTCTGCTTTCATCTAGGTGTATTATTTGACATCTGACCCTTTGAATGGTTATTTCTTCCTCCAGCGAATACATCCAGGGCCCATCAGCCAGAAGTGCTAAGAGCTATGGTTTCACGCTATGAGGTGAGTCATAGGGGCTGAAGCAGACACCCCATTAAGTGGGCAAGGTGACTACCAAGACTCCAGAGGAGCCTAAGCAAAAGAGCCTGTGCAACTTGTATGACTTAGAAACACTGCCTGAGAATTCTACAACAGAGGTGGCTCAACAGGCTGATGGTGCTCTAGACTTCTTTAGGACTGGGCTAACCAGTGCCAGCGCAGTAGTGGCATTGACTGTGACAAAGGCTGGGACTCATCTGTTAGCTCAGCTTACTTGACCTAGGCAGCTCAACCAGACCCAACATGTCTAAAAACCCATTCTGACTGGGTTACCTTTAGGAAAATGTGACCTGGGCAAAAGAAAGGATTGTGGAAGAATATCAGTTCCCTGTCTCTGTGCTCATATGGCAAGCAAGGTCAGTCTTTGTGACCCGTCCAAGTCTAAACGCTGCCTTTCTCCTGATGGTGCCTGGGACTCTTCACTTCTTTCTCCCTTGGTCAGTTTCCTGGATGAGCATAGACAAGCAGGCTTTCTTGGTGGCTTTAGACATCTTGCTTCTGGGGCTGCCAGTTCTAAATTGGCCAGCAGAAGACTGGGGAATAATTCTACATACTTGCGCTCTCCTCTTTATTTTCAGTGTCTACATTTCTTTAGAGGCTTCAGACACAGGTAAAGTGTGGGTTTTAGGAAGGACACTAGGATAAAGATGTAATTGTGGAGAAGGGGCCAAGAAAGAATTTTATGTGCTTTTTGAATACAAAACACAAAGTCTCTAACTGTTGATTTTTGGTCATCTAGGTTGTGGTTGGTCTCAGGTCCTCAGCTTTGGAACACAATTGGGAAAATACTGAACATTGTATGTTGTGACTAGGAAGGAAAGCTCATTAAATACTCGAGTGACTAATGAACAAATCCTTTTGGATTGAAATCAATAACAGGGTGTGTAAATTGCTTATCATTCAGTAGACTTACAAATCCTGTGCCACCTCTATGAATTCTACACATGCCTCAGTCAGACTCTAAAGTAACACCTTAAAATCCTGTGATTTTGTGAGGGTTCAGCCATCGAAAAAAGGAAAGAATATTTTATATACACAATCTCATCTAATCCCCTAACCGAGGCTAGCGGGGACTGATTAAATAGCCCAGCCCAAGTACTGGAGCCAGACTTCAAATGAGAGAGTTCAGCTGATTTAAATACTGTATAACATTTGTGCCTTGCTCTGCCCAATAGGAAAAGAACAAACTATCTGGCTTCAGAGTGAATTTTTTTAGTAAGGCCAGAGGATAAGAGTTCAGTACTCTGTGACTCAGACTTACACCTCATGTAGGAGAAATTCACAAAAAAAATTCACTACTCGACAGCTTGTTTTCTGGTTTCATAGCCCTAACCCATTTGAGACTGGGTTTCCATTTACCTTTGACTCTTCTGGGGTTCTGTCTGGATCACCTTGTTCACACGTGGTTATCTTGTGTGATTTCCTTGTAAGCTACAGTTTCAAATAAAAACATACTTTAAATACAGTAACGTAGACAGAAAAGCCATCCTTTGGTGTGTGAGGATCAGTAACTATGGCTTGACAGAAGCAGCCAGGAGGTGGTCCCTTGGGGATACTTGGTGTGGTGTGGAAGCCTCTAGGTTCTACCTCCATCTTCTTCCCACTCGTTCTGCCACAGAGCTGGAGTCCACTCAAGGCTGGAGTACTCCCCTGAACCCCTAATTTATGCTGGGCCACTCATGCTACTGTCATGGGTCAGAGTTGGGTGGCCTTAGGAAGTTCTTTGTAATCTGAGGAGGGTTGAGATAGAGATGTCTAGACAAGGAGGAGGAAATCTTAGGAAATTAAGTTAGGAGTGTGTGTCTTTTAAAATCTCTGTTGAAAGTAAAATTAACCTGTCACCAAAAAGATCCCAGTCACTCCGACAGAATGTCTGTTGGAATCCATGTTTTTGTGATAGAGTGAAGAACCCATGAGGTCACTAAATGTCTCACTCACTCCTTTCACCTCATGATTGCAGAGAAAATCCATGGCATTGAGATCCCAGGCCTCAGCCTTGGAAGAGTGGGTCAGAGAGTGGTACACACTCCATGCTCAGGCCTCTGACCATGGGTTCCTTCAAGACCACTTTCCCTCCCTTGCCTCTTTGGAGAATGAGGGTGCTGTGGGGATACTGGGGAGCACAGAGCCCACCCCACCTTTCTCTGAAGTTCTGTTATACTGTGGACCAGAGTCTCATTCTTCCTTTCCTGGGGAGGGAAATAAGCAGAGCGTAAGTCTGCAGACAGTAATTTGATATTCCTTGCATAATGTAAGTAGATCTTTCGATCAAAACCCAGGTGCAGCACCCGCTACTTTATGAAGGATGTAGACACTCACCTGTGAAACAAAGAAACCCTGCACTCCACACATACCTTCCCTGCATGGCCACATTTGGTCATGACCTTGGAGTTGACTATTCTTCAGATATGAAAAGGGGAGACTGGCTATCTGAGAGTGGATCAAGGACGGGATGAGGAATGAAACCCAGCAAATGACTCTTCCCAGTTTCTTGCTTACAAGTCTGGCTGTTTCTTCCTCCAGCTCCTGCAAGGCTGTTTCTCTTTCCATCGTGGTACAGTTTTCCTTTTCCCACTCCTCTTCTTCTGTGGGGTCTCCAGTCTGGGTGGCCTCACTTTCCAGCCTGGATGACACAAGTATGATAGGTAAGGACCCTTGGTTTGGCTGTTTGGGAAGTGATGAATTCATATCCTTTGTAATGGTACTTCAGTGACCATTGATGGTCAAGTTGGAAACCCTTCTTTCCTGGATCTATGGAGTCAGATCACTTCCAAGGTGTGGAAACTAATTCCCAGGCCAAATGCCCCAATGTTCTCTCAATGCAGGTAAACATTACTCAGTTTTTAAGGAATCTGTTTGCTATGTTTCAGTGTTCTGGCCACAGAGATGTCAAAGAACAAGGAGACGTTTTTGCTATGTAATATAATCAGTTTTCTAGAGCAGGGAATACAATTTCTTTTGTCTCTTCTCCTCCCTCCCTTTGTTTGGGTTGAGAACTCCTTGGTGACACCCTGGGACTCACCTCTGTATCTCATTTTCTTTCTCTTGGATTTTGAGAAGAAGTTCCTGGTTTGCTTCATCTATTCGCTGCATATCCTTTTCGAGGTCCACGTTCAGACGGGTTATGTTCTTCTTTGACTGGGCCAACCTTAAGATTTCCATTTTTTCTGACCTGTAGACTCAGCCCCCAAATGAACAAGGGCCAGTTATCTTAAGAATAAAAATCACTGGGCTAAAGCGGGTAGCTAAAAGACATGTGGTTCCTCAACCTTGTTCTTTCTGGAAGCGTAATTGTCCTTAAAAACTGGCATCCCTTAATTGAGCTCTACAATTTGTTTCAATAAGTCTCAGCTCAGCAAGTGACATCTTTTTTGGGCTCTTTCTTCCAAAGTGCCCAGGATAATAGTGCATCTCTGCTCTGGTTTCATGAGAGGCTTTGCTTCCTTAAATAGTCCCTTGCATTGGAGGGAGCTGTTTCCCTTGGCAACCTGTTCTCAAAACCTGCTTCTGCAACACACTTTTATTGAGTATTTTTATCTGGGCACCTGGCTCATCACTTCTGGTTTGGCTGGCTGTGTGAGGAGACAAAAGCAGTTCTTACCAGCAATGGTAGGCTTCAGTCCTTCATCTCTCCTCCTACTTCTGCTTCTCCTCCACTCGCTTGCTACAATCATGACATTCTACCTTGACAGCCATTTTATTGAGCACACACAGCTAGACTCCATTCATAGCTTTCAAGAATATAAACACCCTTTTTGGAATAAATTTCAATAAGGAAGAAATGATAACTTCAAAATAGAAAGAGTACCTAACAAAAGGGAGGCTTGAAATAATAACCTTTTGCTTTTTATTGTACTTATTTTTTATTGTCATTATTGTTGTATTGGGGTACATTGTGACACTTTAGTATAGTTGAATTCAGCCCCTCTGTCCTTTTCTTTTTCTTGTATGTGAATTAATCCATTGGTTTCTCTTTGAAGTATTAACTAAGAACAATGGAGTGAGGCTCAGGTAAAATGAAGTATGAGCCTGGGAAATAACACCCTGTGTAGAAGGGCTGTCTTAGACAGGGTCCTTATAATAGTTATCCCTTCAGATGAAGGAATGGAGGCTTGGGGAAGTGCTGTGGAGGCAAGTGGAGGAAGGAGGAGGGAGAGGAGACTAGAAGAGGTATCAGTGGCAGACCTGACTCATACCTGGTCCCTGGTGTGGCTTTGCATAATCACAGTACTTACTCATAATCCAGCTGGTCTTCCTTGCATTCTTCCATTGTAGATTTCCTAAAATGTCAGCAGAGATAGATCTAAGAATCAGAGAAACAAGTCCGCTCATGAAGTACTGAAGTCTTCCCGAATTAAAAATAAACTAATGAATTTCCTCCCTCCAACCCTCCTGATTTGGACGTGACAAAACCCAGCCTTCCATTTCTTCTGCCCCTGGTCTGACTGTGCCTCGGGAAGGGAACAGGGAGGACACAGACATAATACTGTCGAATTCAATATCTGTCCTATGAGCAGTTACACTTAGAGATAAAAATCAAGTTGGAAATCTGCTCAAGACACTAGGAGGAAAAAGAGGCATCAGTCATTCCTAAGTCCCTTTCTCTACGTCCAGACCCTTTCCAAGGGCATTGCTGCAGGTGTGTCACTGCCCCCAGATGTCATCTCTGATCTCCAGCCTGCTGTTTGCAAGGCAGTCAAGCTCATCCACATCAAAGAGCTCAGAAAACCAAGCAGAATTTAACTACTTGGCTCTCTCTGCCCCATAATTTCATCTTTTTCTCCAAAACCTACCTCGCTTCTGATCCTTACCAATCCTGCCCTTAGTCAATTAGCTTCTGAAGATTCTAATCTTTTCCTAGTGGAACCATCCAATAGAACCTGAGGACATTCTCTGCTGTTGACATAGAATGGGTGGGGCAGCATGTCACAGAGGGGTGGGTGGCAACACTTTCTCATGGGTTTCTAGCCTGAAGTAGGAGTCACATGACTGCCTGTGATTTCTGGGCATATGAAGTGGTGGCCTCCAGAATCATTTCCTGGTTGACAGGGCTCCTCTCTTGCCCCAGTATGACTAAAATGGGAATTCTGGGTTTTGTGGCCAGCAGTCTGATCCTATCTTGTACCCAACTAACTACTTGTTCATTTGACAAACATTTGAACTCAGGGCTTCACACTTGGAAAGCAGGAGCTGTACTGCTCCTGGTTAATCTGTTTATTTATTTATTGCACTACTGAGGTTTGAACTCAGGGCCTACACCTTGAACCACTCCACCAGCCCTTTTTGTGTTAAGTGTTTTTGGGATAGGATCTCATAAACTATTTGCCCAAGCTGACTTTGAACCATGATCCTCCTGATCTCTGCCTCCTGAGTAGCTAGGATTACAGGTACGAGCCACTGGCACCTGGGTGCTCTGGCTATTTTTGAGATGGGGGTCCCATGAACTATTTGGCCAGGCTGGCATCGAACTTCGATTGTCTCAATCTCAGTCTCCCAAATGCTAGATTACGGGGTGAGACACCAGTGCCCTACAAGTTTACATGCTAAGGTGTGTGTGTGTGAGTCTTGCAGTTTTAAATAGCATGGTGCTGAGCCTGACCACACGTGGAAGTGAGGTGTAGCTGTGTGAAGAGGTTGGTGGGCACAAGGAGATGACCTTGGGTGTGCCGAGGCCGAGCAGATTCAGGGGCACTAGGAGGAGGGATGAAGATTCAGGTTTCCCCTGCAAAAGCTCCTGGATACATAGCTTTTCCCTGCACCTGCCACTATCCTGGGACAGAGGAGGGCTGTGGAGAGAGAGAATTGCCCTAGAGACTGGGAAATTGCCTAAAAAGATTTTACACTGGGGACTTCTGCAATAACTTGAGTGGGCATCATTGGGTCTCCTGCCAATGTCAGGAGTTGCATGGTAGAAAGAATATATTTCTGTATACCTGAGTGTGTGTACATTGCGGCCAGCTCCTGCCCTGTTTGGAACTCTTTGTATCTGTGAGTCACAGAAACCTGTGAAGCTTAGCCCTCTCCTTCAGGAGGAGCACATCTGGGTGATTTGTGAGCCAGTGACTTCTTAACATACTGTAGTTTCTAACAAACTATTTGTAAAATTAATGTCCTCCAGTGATTCCCATTACCATGTCCCTTCTTCCTGAAAGCAGGCATTTCATTGCTTTATGAAGCTGTACACAGAAGAGTAAGTAAGCAACAATTCAGGCCAATGGCCTCTCCCAGGAATTAATGGTGAGGAGCGTTCATTAACCCCAGCTGGTTACACCTCTCCAGGAAGTGCTCCGGACCAAGGTTATGGCAGCTGTTAATGGATTGGATGGGGGACCTTCACTGGGACAAAAATAAAGCTCTGTGTCCTTCCCAGGGAGCTTTTCTCCTTGAGGTACTACCAAAGGCAAGCTGGCAGGAGCAGCAGAAGCTCTGTGCTGGGGCCTGGTGTGAATGAGAATGGCAGATTGCTACCAGGGAGAAATGTAAAATCAAGGTGAAACAGGGCCTTGGGGGTGAATTTAGGCCTTTGATATAAACCTTCCTGCAGTTTGGGAGGTGGCTGATTAACACCTGAGCGGCTCCACAGCAGCTGCTGTCCCTTGGTGACCTTCCTGTGCCCTGCCTCGCCCTGTGCAGAAGTTGCACTCTGTGCAACAGCCCAGATCTATTGGCTGGGTCTTTGCTCTCCTGCTAGGTGGGGACCGGCTGTGTCCACCTGAGCCTGGAGGGGAAGCTGCCCAGGCCTTTCCTGCAGATCGGGAGGGCCACAGATTATTTCTTGGTCACCTCCATGGTTCTCATTTTGAACATTGGCAAATTTGTCTTGAAAATTGTTGAAAAGGAGTCTGGTTTTAAGGCTCACAGTCTGGGAAGCCTCTGGAACGTCATCTGAAGTCATTGTTCCTCAAATACGGAAAGAAATTTGCCATTGCTTATGTGTTTTCTTCTTCTTAGAGATGATTTTTGTACAAACTTTTACAATCTCTTTGACTTTTCTTTTATAATATTGCTCCTATAGCATTCACAAAAGCAGAAACTTGAACTCTACTGAAAATGTGAAAGGTGGTAGGGAGGTGGAGAGAGAGAGGGAGGGATAAAGAGAGAGAACAGAGAGGGAATGTACCACCTGGCTCAGGTTTTTTTTTTTAGTTATATACAAATCAAAATTTGAATTTAATAAAATTTAATATCCAATAGACTGTGGGAATTTAAACTGACAAAAATTAGAGATATTTTGTTTAAAAATTAAGTGTTTTAAAAATTATTGACTCCTAACAGCAGTAAATAGCTGAGAACACGAGAGTTCACAGGATGTTCCGTGACAGTAAAGCTGCGTGTTTCAAGTTTCCTTCTACCCGTGGTCTCCTCGGCCACCTTGTGTCGTCGTGGGGAGCGGGCATGTGTGCAGTCTCTTTCTCTAAATACCGTGATGAACATTTCTCAGGCTGCAGGATCATCTTATCTTTCAGTCACTGCAAATGCTTTGTTGAGCCGAGAACATTCCCAGGCTCCCCACTGATCCTTCTTATACAGGGCTGCTTCCATGTCTGTGTCCCCAGCCGGGCAGGGACAGCTCCTGCACTTGTCTGTCAGGGCTGCCATGACCCTGGTACACAGGGGCTTCCACAGCAGACTTTTCTTTCCTCACAGCCCTTGAGGCTGGCAGGGCAAGACCCATGTCTTGGAAGCGTGGTTTCTTCTGAGGCCTCCCTGGGACCTGCAGATGAGGTTTCCTGTGTCCTCATGGTCATGGCTCGGTGTCCCCATCTCTTCCTCTTATAAGCACACCAGCCATGTGGGGTTAGGGCCACCCACACGACCTCATGTCTACCTGATTGCTTTTGAAAAGGCCCTGTCTCCTAAACCAGCCTGGTTCTGAAGTACTGGGGTTAGAATTGGTGGTATTGGGGGTGGGGGGGTACAACACAGCTCATACCAGGGCCTTCCTGAGCTGCCTACCCTCAGTGGCTGGCACACATTAGGCACTCAATTAATGCTCAGCTGTGGCTGAGTTTATGAGCATTCAGGTTGCTCCCTCCCCCTCTCAGAAAACCACCTCAATGACTGCATTTGTGGGGGGCTGTGGAGCTCAGTGGTAGAGCACGTGGCGAGGGCCTGGGTTCAACCCCACCCACCTCAAAGAATTTGTATAATCTTTGAACTTTTCAGTATAACCAAAAGTCAAAAATGTGCTTATATTTTTCACCATTTTGAGTATATCGTTTAAATTAAAAAATGAAGAAAAATGAGGACAAGAGAGACTGCATGTGTGGCTGGAACTAAGAGAAGAGAAAGGTCTCATATGTATGATCACACCTACAAATTTTCTGCTTTTGTTTTCCTCCTGTGAGCCTAGAAAATTCAAAGAGGAGGAAAGAGGAGGGTTGGTGGAGTGGCTCAGGTGGTAGAGCGCCTGCCTAGCAAGCGTGAGGCCCTGAGTTCAAACCCCAGTGCTGCCAAAAAAAAGAAAGAAAATTGAAAGAAGAAAGGGAATTTCGTCAGTTGCCACACGGACCTCATACGATGGGGCTGATATTCAGCTTGCCCTTCAGTTAGTGACATGATGCTTTGTTTTTGGTGAAGTCATTTCTTCTGAGGTGACCCGTGCTTGACAGCGTCTTCCATCAACCTCTGTTTTACTTTTTCCTTTATTGCTGTGCTGGGTGGGGTACATTGTGGAATTTACACAGGTTCTTGCCATGTGTCAAATGTACCATACATGAATTCACCCCTCCACCGCTCTCCTTTGTCCCCTCCCTCTTTCTCTATTTTAAATTTGCTTCCATAGCTTTTATTTTTTATATTTGCAATGAGAGAATGATCAATAAAAGGTAGGATCCTAAGCACTGCGTGGAAACTCTTATGAAAAATCCACACTGAGCTCTGGTGCAGTGTTACTTTTCTCTGTAGGTTCGTAACCCTGTGCTCTCTCTACCACATTGAAAAACACGCCATTTACGTTTTCTTACTGGACAATTCTAGAGAAGCCTTCTGGACATCGAGAGGATGGGTGTCTGCTTTAGCTGAGGTTATGTCATGCAAGATATTTTTAACTGGTTTATGACTAACCTAGGTCACATACGGCACAATTCTTCATTTATTTAACAAAAAAAATTTGTATTTGAGCATCCTATGTGCTCTGATCTAGGCAACAGGATGACCCGAACTATAATTTTAAATTTTAAAATAAATTTTTAGTAGCAATAGTTAAACATTTAGTAATATTCAGTATGTTAAAATTCAATCCCAGTATATTGCTTAGGGTGAGACTAT